GGCTGGCGTGGTCATGTCAGTTCATTATCTGACGGCATAGATAACAAGCTCAGTGGAAATCTAAGCATGGTTAACAAATATCAGCCAATTGAGTTTGGTTCCCTCTGGATGCTACCACACATATAGAAAGTAACCTGACAAGAAATTTAAGTGAACGTTTTGTTCTTGTTTTCTAACACATGTCAACAGGTTTTCTGAGATAACTTGCATCTCTGCAGAGTATATCCTTGAGAAAAAGCAGGTAGGTGCCTGGCTGCTGTCAATGTGCTGAGGGAGCAGATTGCTTACCCTCCCTTGCCCTTCCGAAAATATCAGCCAGGAAATTTAACTGCATGTTAGCAAGGGGCTGACAGTGCCAGCCTCTTTGCTGTTGTTTTCAAGGTCAGCTCTAATTGACCTTCCTCTCGCTTCATTTAGTTGCTCACATAGTTTCCTTTTGATTCCCTGACTGTGCTCTCATTGTTGAGATTTCGGCGTGTTCCTGTGTTGTCGTTTGGTTAAGCCTATTCCTGCTTACTTCCTCCCTTTCTGCTTGTGCTTCTTTCTCCTCCCTCTATCCCCCTGTCTCCTGCCTGCTCTCTTTCCTCAGGACTCACTCGTTCTCCTGTGCCTCATTTACTATTTCCCCATCCTGAAATATAGCCCAGATCCCCAACCTGCAGCTCCACAGCCCAGATGCCCACTGTTTTCCCAGCTAGCTTTCAGGAGCAGCTGTTTCACACAGCAGCAGATTACTCCTGCGTGGTGAGAGGCAGCAGCTTGAGGAACTCAACAGGAGCTGCTGCCTCTCCTGGAAGCAGCCTGTGGGCTGTATCTCAGCTGTGCATGGGGCTACAGGCCTTCCTATGGGCAGGTTCATGTCTGGTACAGCATTAAGTAGGTGACTTGTCTCCGTGTAAGCCACAGGAAGACACTGGTGTACGCAGAGGTACAGTACAACTTGATGGCATAGAGCTGGCAGCTCTCCTAGCTGTGGCTCTGGAGTGACAAAATACCACTTAGCAGATTTGTCTTGCTTCTGTAGGAGGTGTTGGCTCCTGGCTTTGTTGAAGTTACAGCCCCACTTGCCTGCTAGGGTAGGATCTGTACATTCACTGGGTGGATGTCATGCTGCATGAGAGCTGCATGCCATGAGAGCTGCACAGAGCCAGATTTGGCCTGATGTGCTGAGCCCTCAGGATGTCCATGGGGAGTTTCAAGCAGTAGGAAAATGAGGTCCTAACATACTCGGCCTGAGCCTGTATGAAAACACCTACTGTTGAACGTTAAATAACAGCAAGTGTACATGATGGAGAAGCAGACCATGAGGTTTTCTAGTAAGCAAAGGAATCTGCTGTCAGTTTACACTGCTCCCATTGCAGAGAAGATCTCCTCTGTGGTGGCACTAATGGCAATCGATAAATTGATACAGCGAAACCACCAATAACTTCATTTTAAAAAGAAGAGAAAGTCTATTTTAATTACATCCCAGCTCATTAGAAAAATGTATGTAATGAGAGGAGGATAGTCTGTGCCATTGCTTTGACAGACCGAAAGTCAAAGTTCCTGGCAGGTTTGCCATCCCCCATCCCAGAGTGGAGCCCAGGCGTTACTCTCTGCTGCAGCAGTGTCATCCTGTTTGAATTTAGCCTCCGCGTGCTTTGCTGGAGGGAGATTTCCCCGTGACATCAGTTGCTTAGGTTTTCTCTCCTTCCTTCCTGAGCCAACGGCACGTAGCCTAGTCTTTGCAGCAAGTGGAGGCAGTGCCAGCCAGCAGAGGGGAAAGGCCAGCCTCAGTGCAGCATCCCAAACTCTGTGGACAAGTGAGTTCTGCCAGCTCCCAGTGTCTCCTGGGCAACATCTTCCAGTACCAAAATCCCTGGTGGAAAAAATGATGGGTCACTGTAAATATTGTTGTGTAAAAGGGTCCAGGAGGTGAGTGGTCACAGCCTTGCAATAAGTATGATAAATTGTTTATCGTAAACAGTTCACTGAAGGGTACAATTTGGGAAGCCCTGTTGTGGAGGAAACCTGCATGCCTTCCAGGTGCATCATGGGGTACTCTGGCCCTTCCCAGACTTGGGACACCCTACACCATGCGCTTCTGTGCCCTTCTTCCACAGTGCAGGGCAGAGCAGAATTTACCCATTGCTTTACTTGCTGATGCTTTGCAAGGAGCCTATGTTCTTTTGGAGAGTACAGATATCACAGAGGAGGAAGCAGCCATGCTTTCAAGAGCATGCAAGTCCTGCTGGACCCTGTCCCAAGGACACTGGTTTGTGAAAAGAGCCTTGTCCAGCCTGTATGGCTGGAGCCAGGTTCCCTCCCGTGGCTGAGAGCTGCCACAGCAGGAACTGGCAGCTCTGCGATGCTGAGCAAAGTATGCAAGGGGCAGGCATCTCGTGCTCAAACAGTTTGTCCTGAGACTGGTATTGAAATTACGCCCTACCTCTTGCCAGTTAACGCCAAGGTCCTCCAACAGAACACGCCTAATTGCTGTACACAGTAATGGGATAGTCACTTGGAGCCCTTCTGATAGCAGACAGATCTCTGGGATGCTCCTCTTAACCAGGACTGGACCTACTTGAGTGGACTGTCATTAAAGTGAGGGGATTTTTCTTATTTGTGTTATGCAAGGTACAAAACACAGGTTCCTGAGCAGAAGACAGTGCAGTGCATTTTTACCCAGCCTGTAGTATATAAATCCTCCAAAGCCTTTGTAGGCTCTACCACTCTGGTCATCCTGGACAGGTAACAGTGGATGGCTCTGTGCTGGCACTCACAGTTACTGCGGTAGGACACGAGTAGGCCAAGTGTTGTGTGGCTGTATATATGAGGTGAGTAGCTAGCTCATAATTCATGGATACTATATGTATCCATATATATACCTGCTTTTTGGAACAATTGCTGCATAAACAGTTGGTGCTACCGTTGCGCTTACGGGTGCGTGCCTCTGCTGATGCTGTGCAGTCACTGGGCGTGCCATGACCAGGCAGGAAGTCAGCACAATGCCTCAAGATACATTATCGACTGTAAATGTGGCAGGAAGTCATTAAAGATTTCCTGAGCTATTCCCTGGGAAAAGACTATCTCCAGCCTCTGGCAAAGTCGGAGGACTTGTACTGCCAGGGCTGAGAAATCAAAAGAAAAATTGCTCTAATAAGCTGATGTCAGCAGCTTCAGCAGGGAGCCCTCTGCTCCAGATGGAGCCTGTACCCACGGGGTTGGGGTGGTGATGGATGATGAGATTTGGGGGACATGTGCCAAGGGGGTCTTTGTCACTTGCTTACTCCAGCCAGGCTCATCCAAGCCTCCCTAAGACTCTGGGGGCTAAGGGAGGTACAGACATAGACAGGTCTAAACCCTTTGTCTCTAAAGCTTTGTAAATCCCTATAGGTGAAAATAAATGGCATCTTATTTTAAGAAAGCTGTTTGGTTGCTCCATGAGCTCTCAGCTACAGCTCCAGGAGGGAAATGCACAGATGCTGAGCTCTCTTGGACCAGCTGGGCAAAGACAATTTCCTGCCATCAGGAGGCAATCGGAGACTGGGACAAGAGCGTGAGCAGTGAGGGAGGCCAAACCAGGCAGGTCAGGGTAAGGAGCCCCAGTGTTTGTAGGGGGCTCATTCAAAAAACTTGAAGGGGGTTGGGGCATGATTTAATGATGACACCAGGAATTCATGTGACTCATCTCACTTGATGTATGGGATAACTCTCACTTTTGTTGCTTCAGTTATGTCTGTCTTGAAAAATATTTATGTTTTACGAGCAATATGTTTCTATCTTTTTTCCCCTATCCTAAATCTCATCAATCAACCTCTGGTCAAGGCTCAAAGGCTGTCTCAGCAGATAAAAGGTCTTGGGGAATTACTGTGGAAATCTCATTTCTGGGTTGTGCCTACAGGTGCAAAATTTTTTAAAAAGTAACTACTAACTCCATGAGATTATTTAACTGCTGAAAAACTTAGTGTTCTGGGTAAAAACAAAGTCGTCATACTATGGTCAAAGGAAAAGAGCCAGATAGTTATATTTTAGTGTTCATTTTCTCACTGGAAAAGATGAGCAGAGTAAGAGACCTTTCTTCTAAAACAAAACAAAACAAAAAACCTGAGAACAGAAAAAAAAAAAAGTATGCAAGGATTAGGCAGCTAAACTTCCAGTTTTGAGTACCTGCAAAAATCCTACAAGTGAACTTGTAAAATCAGGTAGTCTGCTATGTCTAGCAACCACCAGTATGCACCTGGCTCAAAGTCTAATTTGAGTGCCGAGAGCAGTAGGGACAGGAACGAGTGGTTTGAAGCTGCCACTGCCGCTGAACTTGAGCAAGATGTGTATGGGGATTTTTCCACTACTTATTTTCTACATGCTATTTCAGTTTATGACACTTGTTCCTTAAATGCAGATCCTTGCTTACAAGCCTGTCAAAGGTGATACAACTTTTTATCCTGTTGGGTCATTTGCTGGTTATTCTGTAACAAGCATGTGTTATTTCTAACACATGTAATATCAGAAATAAGCTGTCTCTTTTAAAAATTAACATTTAAGGTCAGAATAATTTTTCTTTCCCCTAAGCTTTTTGTTAGCCCCTAAGCTAGTGTAAGCTGGTCTGCCCCAACTTGAAAATGTTTTGGGATGAGAGAGCGCCATGAAATGTACTTTGTCCTAGCTGTTTGGCTGTACCAGTGTAGCATACTGCATAGAAGCCAGTAGTCCTTTTTCCTCTCATTGCTGATTAAGGTACCCATTTAAGTGGCCAAAAGAGTTTTTCTTATCTCAGACTCACAGTATGTATCTCACATATATGTCTTCGATTCTCTTCCCACAGGAGAGAAAGAAAACCTAACTGAAAAACAAAGGCACATTTTTCTAGCAGGATTTTAAGGGGGAAACCTGCCTGCTGGGACTGCAAGG